TGAACAATGAACTGAAGCCCAAAAGACCTTTACCCAATGCTGTCTAACTTCAAAACTCTTGAAATATACGAGCACTAACTGTAGGTAGTCAGTCTTAATTAGGTTCAAAAGATTGATAATTATAAAAAGATCAGATATTCTCCTCTGGTATTTGGTTAAATGTGTTTGATACAACAGAGCAAATAAAATATTAGGTTTATTTTCTCCTTTACTGGCATGTGCTTATAGATATATTTGAATGAATAAACCAAGCATGATTCGAATAGGTTCAAGGTTTTGAGACTTTAACACTCACAAACGAATTGCTAAAGCTAAAAACCATGTGATGAGCAAATAGAAGTAAATTTGACTATGTTGATCATGCTTCTATCTTGTATCCAAAACCTAAAACCCACGTAGTACCAAATGTAAAATTAATGTACAAAAGTAATGTTACTTCGTTTCATTAGACATTGCCAACTTTGAATTGGATGTGAGGTAAGAAATGTAAAAATTAAGTGATTGAGGTTTGTCCATAGGAGACAAATAAATAGAACTACAAATTCATTACTAAGGATAGTGACAAAGCATTTGAGATAAATAAAAAAGGAATGTTATATAGCTTTTGGGACAAGTACAAAAGCCAAGTCAAATTATAAAGAAAAAAACAAATACAGACTAATTGTGTAAAGAAGGTAGAACAAATTGTATCTGGGCACGGAGTGCCCCTGCCGGCCTGCCTGCTTGACCTATAGTCTATGGATATGTCCCTTCTCCCTAAACAACAATGACACTTCTCCCTAAACAACAATGACAATTATTACGATATGACACTTCTCCCAAAAAGGATAAGCCAAACTATATGGGTGACAGGAGGTCTATTGGACTTTGTAATGTTCTTTATAAAATCTTTTCAAAAGTCCTCACTAATAGGTTTAAGGGTATCCTGAATCATTCAGGGTTTTTTTATAAGAATATTACTAAAATAAAACTTATTTACATAAATATGACTATTCATTACTACAACGTAGTGTTGTAGTAATTTAAGTTCAAAACTTCAACATGAATTACTATGATTTCATTACTACTCTAGTAACTCGTCATATTTTGTAAACCACATTTATTTTGGTCATATTCACGTAATTATTTCATCATTTAGTGGGGGGGATCCCGGGGTAGATACAATATCATTGTTGCTTTCGAAACCCAACATTACCTTAAAAGAAAGTGCTATTGGGAGGAATTTCTTGCGCTAAAACTTGACACGAGTAAAGTGTATGATAGAGTTGACTGAAATTTTTGTGGGGCGTGATGCTTAAGATGGGTTTTAATAGGAGATGTGTTCATATAATTATGGAGTGTATCAGGACAGTTAATTATTATATTCAGTTTGATGGCGATTTTTTGGAACCGATTATATTATTCCTAGCAAGGGGCTTCATCAGGGAATCCGCTACCTCCTTATCTATTTATTCTGGTTGCGGACGAAGGGTCTGAGCGACTGAGCGTGTTGTTAAGAATGGCGGAGCTGAAAGGGGATATCCATGGTGTGGCGGTGTGTAGGGGAGCACCACGGGTTACACATCTATTCTTTGCAGATGATAGTTTTTTATATTTTTAAAGCCACTAGCAATGAATGTTGTGCTATTAAACAAATATTACAGGAGTATGAAGGCTGCTCAAAGCAGGCAGTTAATTTTGCAAAATTCAGCCACTTTTAGCCAGAATGTGGCGGAAACGTTTAAGGAGCAATGTTGTCAATTTTTTGAGATTCCACGTAATGGGGGGACAACAACGTTATCTGGGTCTTTCTGGCCTTGTTGGTTGAGGTAAATCTGCTATTATGGGTTATCTATGAGATAGAATTCTTAATAGAATTAAAAGCTGGAATAACAGATTTCTATTGCGAGTTGCTAGAGCAATCTTACTTCGGAATGTGGTTTAAGCAATGCCTACTTATGAAATGAACGTTTTCCTTTTACCTCGGGATTTATGTGATGATATTGAGAAACTTATGAATGGATTTAGGTGGAAAGGAACAAAATTTGAACGGAAAGGCATTCGATGGAGGCGTTGGGTGTTGATGTGCAGACCAAATAGTGCAGGGGGGTTGGGGTTCAGAAAATTAAGGGGATTTAATTTAGCAATGTTGGCTAAACAGTAAACAGGTATGGAGACTAATCTCAAATCCAGAGAGTTTGATGGGGCGAGTTTTGAAAGCTCGCTACTTTCCAAATTTCGGATTTCTTGAAAGCTAATTTGGGTAGCAACGCTTCTTTTATATGGAGGAGTATCCATGAGGCCCATGAGATGCTAAGAAATAATGTCAGACGACGGGTGAGGAATGGTAGGGAAGTTCAAGTTCGGGCTGATACCTGGCTTCCAGGAGCAGGTTAAGGAAGAATTTAGTTAGCTAAACCAGCCGGGATTGCACATATGAATGCAGCAGCTCTGAGAGATTTCACGGGGAAAAACTGGAATACAGAGAGGATTTCAACAATTTTTAATGAAAAAGAAAATAAAATTATTACTAGTATACCCATTAGTCTGCAGGACAAAAAAATGGGTATCGATGGAAAGAAGAAAATAATGGTATTTTCGCAGTTAAAAGCTGCTGTTGGATGCTTATGCAGGGGACGGAGGTTAGTAACTGGGACGGGTGGACAGGTCTTCGGGAGTTAAAAATCCCACCAAAAGTGAAATATTTTCTTTGACAGGTTCTTGATGGGAGGGGAGTGAAATTGCAGAATCAATGTAAGCTATGCGACCAGGAAGCTGAAACGTCGGAGCACGCATTAAGGACGTGCAGGAAAGCACAGGAAGTTTGGGAGGCCGCCAGGTTTGGAGTGGGAAATCTTGAGGAGCCTTTACAAGCCTGGATCCAAAAACCACCTCATTGTACCGGACAAAGAGGTACGCTATAGTTTTGCTATGTTGGTTTGGGGGCTTTGGAAATGGAGAAATTCATAGCTCTAACGGAGTTATTCGTTGTTGTTCCAACATGCTTCAAGCATGGCGGGCAAAATGATAGCTCAACGAGGAGGGCAAATTCGAGATGACAACGCCCAAAAATGGAGGAATAAAAGTGAATGTTGATGGAGCGGTTAATGCATCGGGAGGGATTAGGGTGTGGGGATGGATAGCAAGAAATGACCAAGGCGATTTTATTAAAGCGTTTGGGTGATCATGCAGAGCAGAATGGTCTTCGGCCAAGATGGAAGCGGGGGTATTCGCCAAGCAATACTAGGGGCAATTTATGAAAGATGGGAAGAGGTTGAGTTTGAATCAGACGCTCAGGTGATAGTAAGAGGGAATGGTGTTGCATACATGGATCTGATCATTGATGACATTCGCTTCTTACTTCAAACAAAGAGGAATTTCGTAATCTCTTTTTGTAATCGGTCTATGAATCGTGCAGCTCACGCTTCAGGTAGAGCTCGTGTTGACATCTCAGATTTGAGTAGTAGCTATAATTTTATACTGGAATACATTGTAAGCCATGTTGCAAACAATTCTTTAATCAAATAAAGTGGTCTGTTTTCGGTTTTAAAAAAAAAACATTGTCACCGCCACCATCACCTTCGCCACCGCTCGTGACCTCTCCCAAAACTATTGTCTGTGACCATAAAACAATGCAATATTGCTTCGTTCGGTAGTTAACGCCGTCCACTTGCTTCTGTATGTGAGTTAGTAATCCCTCCACTCAAACCAGATCGTGACTCTGTTAACTTTTCTTACCATTTCATACTTACATCCTTCATTCCAAAATTCGTTAGTGACTCCTTCGCCGGGGGGTGTAGCTCACCTGGTAGGAAGAGGGTGCCACAAGGGAGAGATTCCGAATTCGACTCCAAACAATGATTTGGGATGAAATTCCGCTCTCTTTCCATCATAATATGATCAAAGCTCAACTTACATACTACCAAAAAGTGTGATCGGTTCTAGGGGCCTTCAGGGGTAAGATGTCATCCGTTTTTTCGTTAGTGTCTCTTTCCCCACCCTAGCCAAATTAAGATCACTACCCTTTCACTAACCAAAATAATCTATTAGTGTCTTATCCCCAAACTTTATTCCAACTATCCATCAGAGGCCACTGTAATAACATATTAGCCAGGTTGCTAGTGGTTCGGCCCTCAACTCTAAATAAACTCTTTCGTTAGTTAACATCACTCTTATCCTAAAGGTCAAATAAGTTCTACTATTTGAAAAAAACATAACTCTTATTCTAAAGAAACAGGTCAAATAAGTTTTACTATTTCTAATCCGTCACTTAAATCTCTATACTAAATAAGGTATCATATAAGTACGCTACTTTACAAAATTGATCAATTTGATCATTTAATTAGTTTTAACCTGTAATAGCAGGTTTTTTAAAATTTAAAAGCTTTAAAGAATTGTTAAATTTTGAAGAAATATATACAAAAATTGTGAACATTTTCAGAATATCAAAGTTAATATTTTTTAATTTTTAAAAATATAATTATATTCTACGTCTATTTAAAAGGTTTTTAAATTTTGAATTTTTATTTTTTTATTTTCACTTTATTTTTTCTGTTTTTTATTTTTTTTTTTGTAATTTTTATTTTAATTCTTTTAAATTTTTATCTATTTTTAAATTTATACTCCGTACTATTTTTTATACACCCTCCGTATTTAAAAGTTTGCTACACTTTTCTATTTGAGATGTATTTAAAAGTTTGTCACATTTTTCCTTTTTGGTAAGTTTTTCCTTTAAAAATACGAAGTACTCAATTACCCTTACATTTTCTACTTTTTATCTTCTTTTTCCTACTTTTCCACCTTCTCTCCTACTTTTTCTACACCATTCATTACCCCTATTATTTTCTCCTAAAACATTGCCCCAAAAGTTATTGTTGGGAACATATAAATAGGGAGAGAGTATTATTATTATTAGATTATTTACTCATTATACGTTTTTGTGAATTTTATCAATATTCCTCATTTAATTTAAAAAAAAAACTCTGATATAGCATGTCAAATGGATTGGATGATTGTATTTTTAAAATAGGTGTGCTTGTATGATATTTTTTAATACAAGAGTTTAAGGGATGGATTAGAAATAATAGAAGAGTTTATTTGATCATTTTTTCCTAGTCTAAATAGATATTACTCCGTAATTGTCTGTGTAAACCATTTTAATTTTTTCAATTAAATTTTTTTATACAAACAAAATGATCAGTGATGAGACTAATAATCTTTATGTAAAATTCTAATCAGACTCATTTGAAACAAAAAACGTTTTCTTACATTATTTATTCCCACTTATTAATTATTATGTCCATAAGCACATGCGCCACATTTTGAGTGTCCGTAAAATAAGCCTAACCAGTGGACATTTAAATGTATATAGTCCTCAGACATTATATTATTATTGATTATATTATTATTGTTGTTGCTGCTGCTATGTATTCCTACTTCGTATAACACTTTAATTTATTAATTAATTAAGGTTTGAGAAGGAAATTAAATGATCAGTTGATCTATGGATGCTAGATCGAGCATGTCGAAGTTTGATCCTTACGAACACCTCAAGGTTTCCCTAAACGACGACGGCTCCCTCACTCGCTTCGTCCACCTTCCATCTACCCCGGCGACCGGCAAATGCCCGCCGTCCGTCGTCAAGGGACAAACCGCCGTGAGCAAAGACGTCATCCTCGACGAGAAAAAGAATACATGGATCAGGATCTTCCTCCCCACACGAATCCCATCCAACGACAAAGCAATCGCGAAGCTTCCGATCATATTCTACTTCCGGCCGGGCGGCTGGATTCTGTTCTCAGTCGCCGACACCATGATACACGAGAGCTGTAACCTGCTGTGCAGCGAGACTCCGGCCATTGTGGTGGCGGTGGAGTACCGCCTGGCGCCGGAGAGCCGCCTGCCGGCGCAATACGAAGACGCCGTGGAGGCGGTGATGTGGGTGCGAGAGCAAGCCACGGCGGCGCGCGGGGACTCGTGGCTGAGGAACTTCGGCGACTTCTCTCGGTGCTACCTTTACGGGGTGAGCTCCGGGGCGAATGTGGCGTACAACGCGGCGTTGCTCGCCGCGGAACGCGAGATCGGGCCGCTGAACGTGGCCGGGGTGATACTGAACCAGCCGCTGTTCGGCGGGAAGAAGCGGACGGAGTCGGAGATGAAGCTGGCGGCGGACGAGTACCTGCCGTTGCCGGTGATGGATATGCAGTGGGAAATGGCGCTGCCGAAGGGGGCGGACCGGGACCACCGGTTCTGTAACCCGATGGCGGCGGGCGAGGGAGCGGAGAAGCGGGCGATGAAGAAGCTAGGGCGGGTGTTGGTGATCGGGTTCGGGGGCGACCCGCTGATCGACCGGCAGCAGGAGTTCGTGCAGATGTTGGTGATGAGAGGAGTGTCGGTGGATGCTCGGTTCGATGATGCCGGCTTCCATGGAATCGACATGGTCGATTCCCGAACAGCTGCTGCCATTCTCACTTTCATCAAAGACTTCGTTTGATCCGGCCTCCTTTATCTACTCCCATCTCCATCATTACTCTATCTATCCCTAGGTTATGTTATTCATTTTGTAATAGAGATAATTGGGTGTATATACATTTTTTAATATGTACATTTAAGTTTATGTTATACATTTACAAAAATAAAGTGCATAGCCTTTTAAAATATCGTAGAAGCTTATGAGTTATATGCATGTCCGATATAAACACCAAAATTCATGGAATTTGATGTTATCTAAACACATTTGTAATTATCAAATACAATTGAGTCTTGTATTTAACTCTATCGTATTTTTATATTAATTGCTAAAGTGCTATATTCTTTAATAAAAATAATAGAGGTTATTAACTAAAAGTGACTTATTTGTTTAAGCTATATAGCCATTTCTCCCTTTGTAATATATACGTAGTACTTTCCTTTTTAATGGTAATCATTGCATTTCTTAATCCATAAATTTGACCATTAATAAATATATTTAAAACTTTTAAAAATTGATTTTGAAATTTTAAAGTAAAAAAAAAAAATAAACTAAATTTCTAATACATTAATACATAAAATATTATTAAAACAGAACATGAGAACAGTGTGAAATTTAACAGTATTATTTAATAATAGAGTGATTTTTGACAGACATTACTTCCGCGTGACAATTGGATGATCTAGAGAAAAGAAAAAGGGGAAATGAAAAATTATACGGAGTAAAAAATTAGAAAACGCTAAAAAAACATTAGTTGGGACATCCGCGAAGACCATTAACTGAATAAGCGGTTGATCACCCGTAAAATTACCGATTTTGTCATTTTTTTTTATTCTTCACAAACTTAATTAATTCATTAAAAGTACAGTCAATTGCGTTTTTACCAAAACGCGTAGATTTATTTGACAGTTTTTCCAAAGTACTTCATATGAGTTTTCAATTGATAAATGTTATAGATGTGTATACACACTTTGATTTTCCAAAATCAGTGTCATAATTTGACATTATTAAACATTAATGTGACAATGAACGTATCATTTTGAAATTATTTGTCAAGCGTGTCAGCAATTGTTTCTATTTAGGACGACATTATACTCCTAGTTTAGAACGCATCATTGATGTTTACCCATAAATAATGTATGCCTTCCTCCCTCTTCTCAAAATGAGGCTTTTGCTTGAGTTATTATAGCATAACATCGCTAGAGTATAAATTACCGAATTCAAAAACACAAAAACAAGCAAGATACGATCAATAGGGCAGCAATCACTGATCCGAGATTCCAGTGTACTTGTCAGTGTACGAGCTTGGCACGATGAGTTCTAGGGTCTACTTCTACTCGCAGACCAAGCAGAGCAAGTTCAGGAACATTTAAGGTCCCCTGAAGCTCTAAATCTGCAACAACTCTTTCGTTATCTGTGTTTCCTTCAAATAGATTCCTTGCCGCCCAAATACCCCATTCCCTTAAGAAGGGATTATCTTCATCAGGGACACACTGTTGCAATAATAAAACAATGCCGTTTCTCTTTCTAATTTCATCTTGCACGTACTTTCTCCTGTATAAACAATTTCCAAGTATTGCAACTATGTCTCTCCTAAAACCTTTGTAAGGACAGCAAGTGATAATCTGACGAGAAGACATGGTGGTCTCTTCCTTCTCATGGCGGTTCTCGCGGTGTTGCTGTTGTTTCATCGCGGCTCGAATTATTGCCGGAGGTTCAAGGCTACGAAGGAAAGAAAGCAGCAACTCAATTAGTCCAGATGAAACGAGCACATCCACGACATCATCTTTGAAACCAGTGCGGCGATCACATGCACAAATATCTCTCAAAATGGTCAAAGAATACCCTAGAACATTTACAAGAATGGAGCCAGTCGGAAGACCTACTTTTCCTCTAGTGGTAAAATCAACACCGCCAGCAGCACTTCTTAGTATCCCAAGAATGCATAAAGCAAAATCAGAGGTTACAGCTAAAATCTCTATTCCGCCGTTCAATGCGTCAGAAAGGGTGCGCAAAGTATATGCTTGCTCAGAAACATAATGCCCATCCGCAGGAATCATACCAGCAGCATAATCTGGATCTAACTTGAAGAAAACTGATTCAGTGTGATACCCTTCAATGCAAATTGTTGATAGAAGCAATTTGAACCAGCTCCCTGTGGCGGAATCAGCTGTCAAACAAATAATGAATTGAATCATTTTGCCCCAAGAGAAAATTTGCATGCCTTTTATCTATTCACTACTGAAAGTTGCACAAATGTACAAGTAATATGATTATATACATACCCATACATGCTGTCCTTATAATTTCAACAATCACGGGCAGCCCTTGTTCATTACATAAATCAGTTAATAGCTTATCATCCCCTTCACAACAACTGTAAATAACCATACACAAGGGATCACAAGTCTCACTGCTTCTTACCCTGGCAAGATTCAAGAACCCATTTGGAAAGAATTTGCACCAAACAGCCCGCTGATGTTCTCCACCAGCCAATACAAAATTAGCCAGAAGTTGCAGAGCCATTCGAACAATCTCAGCATCATAATCAGAAGCAAATCCTATGGAAGTTATAGTAGTTGAGATAACTTCCACTCCATTTTCTTCAAGGAAAGCATTTTGGTTTCTTATTTCTCCTGCACAGAGATTTCTAAGTAACTTTAAGGAGAGGGAAAGGATGTGACAACCCATAGGATATGAGATGGATAAGCACAGTTCCAGGAGTTTGGAAATGACATTTTGGGAAGCAAGCTGCGAACGGCCTTCTGGAGTTTTAGCAATTCCAATAAGCTTCTCCAGGGCCACTTCTATGCTGGAACAATTTGAAGCAATAAGAAACGGTCCAATGATATTGTCTGCAACCAAAAGCTCATAATCTGTTTCCTTGTCCATTTTACAACCAAACTGCTACAGGCCTGCCTACATCAAAATTCAAGACGCTCAGATGAACCCTGAGTACATGAAATGTTTTTTATGACACATTCAAGAAAGATCTGATAATAACATAAGATAACTATTTAAAGCAAAAGGTAAATTTTGTCCACAATATATAGATCAAAAGCGGGGCCGCTGCTGCAAGTTTGAAAGCCTAGGAGCGGATAATTAAAAATGGGCTTAATCTTAATAAAAACCATTTTATGTCTAAAGTAACATTTATAATAATAATATGTAGTAATATTTAAAAACCTTTATAATAAAATAACTATAATTCGTTAAAATAAATAAAGTAGAAACACAGTTACGAATTATAATTCGTTAAATTTAATATTCAAAAAACTTACCAAACTAATTACATGACGAAAACAAAATCCAAATTTAATACTACGTAACATAGTATAAGAATCACTACTATGGGTCATTCGGAAATAGTCTCTCTGTACTTTAGTACAGGGGTAAGGCTGTGTACATCTGACCCACCCTTGGTGGGAGCCTTTGCGGATAATTAATAATAATATGAAGCCTTTGCGGCACTGGGGTAATGATGATGATGAGTATAAGAATCACTAATCACTTCAAATTACTATGGGTCATTCGGAAATAGTCTCTCTGTGCTTTAGTACAGGGGTAAGGCTGTGTACATCTGACCCACCCTTGGTGGGAGCCTTTGCGGATAATTAATAATAATATGAAGCCTTTGCGGCACTGGGGTAATGATGATGATGAGTATAAGAATCACTAATCACTTCAAATTAAACAAGTCAACTGTCAACAACTATGAAGTATAAAATAACAGCTTTAAGAAAACTGTGAACTAATCAACTAAAGTGAATATCAACAAGCGCAGAACCAATTAATAGATAACAAATATACATCAACAATAAAGATTTATGAATATGAACTAATCAGTTAATGAACAAACAAAAACATCATTAAATCAATTGAATATTTATAAACAGCTGTGAATTCAAAGTTCGTTCATAACACATCAACAATAAAGATTTATGAATATGAACTAATCAGTTAATGAACAAACAAAAACATCATTAAATCAATTGAATATTTATAAACAGCTGTGAATTCAGAGTTCGTTCATAACACTGGAATAAACTGAATCAACTGACTTCACTGAAATTTATAAAGTTTTGATTGAAATGACAAAATCGACTGAATTTATTAAGTTATGTAAAAATTCTGTTTAAGATATAGATAGTATTATAAAGAAAAAATAAGAAAAAGTAGCTCAAATGGTCCCTCAGTCGTAACTTCAATCAATTCATCTATAAAACTAACTTTAACTTTAATTATTTTAATTATTACGAGTACAAAATTCATGGCGTGAATCAAAAGTTATCCAAATGGTAAAAAAGTTTGTGGATAAACCAAAAAATGTGGCCACCAAACAAGCTCTAAATCAATTATTGAACTAAGTCACTGATCAATAAAAGAAGACTGGAGTATGGAGAAATTTCGGAACTACAGTACGTGCAAATTGAAAAGGGCCAATTCACCAATTGACCAAACCGCCGAATGGGGAGCGGCGGAGTGCAGGTGACGGGGCATGCAGCGTGCTAGCGCCTGGCGGAGTGGCAGTGCTGCCGTAGTGCTGTGCTACGTAGTGGGGCCGGTCATGAGAAAATGAAGGCCCTGTGCAACAACAAAATTTGGGCCATTTTTCCAAGTTCCAACACAAGTAAATTGTATTAAAATAAAATGATTATAAATTACTTCCAATTATGTTGTTTGGACAAATATACCTTGTAGCTATTGAAATGTTTTAATTCATAATAAAATCATAAAAAAAAAATCTCCCCTAATCTTGTACATAATTATAAATTTCCAGCTAAAATTCAGTTTAAATTTTAGGTGTAATTATGAAAGATTATAATAATATAATATAATTATAATTTATAAGCCTATAGGGCTAAAGTTACCTAATAACATAGTTTATACGGTATACTAAGTTCTTAAATCTTAATTGTTAAACACAACTTTTATTAATTCAATTAAAACAGTGAATTGAAATCACAACAAACTAATTTCAGATTTTCAGTAATTTGCAACAAACTAAAATAAATATTATTAATTCAACAACTAAAATCAATTTAGTAATTATTATCAATTCAACGACTGAAATAAATACGCACTATTGAAGTATTGAGTAGCAGAGTATTTTGCTTAGTTTGCTTACCGAGTAACGGGCGGACTGCGGAGTAGTGCGGAGTGCGGATGATGGTCGACGGTCAACGGACGAGCGGTCTTGGAGGCGGGGCGCGGTGGCGTGGCAGCGCGGTGGAGGGCTGGCGCTGCGCGGGTTCGGTCGAGCGACGCTTCTTCTTCCCCGACTTCCCCAGCGACCAGCGTTCTTGTTTTATTTCTTCAGATGTTGTGGAGCTGGGCTCGCAGATGAGTACTTGTTCATATTAGAAAGGAGTAAAGGGTCATATTTGTAGGAATTTCATAAAAAGGTCAAATAAGTTATACAGGAGAATTTCATAAAAAGGTCAAATAAGTTATACAGGAGGCTCTGTCCGGTCGTAACCATTTGGGGCAGTTCCCGGTGAAATTTTTTTATGAAATATTTTGAGCATTTTATTCATTAAATCTAGTTTACTCGTACCAAATTTCAGTTAAAACTTCAATTGAGGAGGGATTCAAATGAATTCTTGAAGCGCAGTTATCTTCAAGAATTCATTTGAATGCCTTCTTGATTGAAGCTTTAGTTGAAATTTGGTATGAGTAAACTAGATTTAATGAATAAGATGCTCAAAATATTTCATAAAAAATTCCACCGGGAACCGCCCCAAATGGTGACGGCCGGACAATAAGGACTTATTTGACCCTTTTTATGCAATTTCGAGGACCAATCTGACCCTTTACTCTATTAGAAATACTAATGTGTTACGTAGTATTCGACAGTGGAGCTAGGGATGGATTGGGTCCGGGCGGCCAGACCTAGTACAGGTACCGCTAGTACCAGTCCGGGAGTGGTTTTTCGGTATCGGAACTGGCCCGGTACCCGGACCGTGGTACAAAGGGCCGGGCTTCGGGCATGCATTTTTTAAAGTAGACCGGCTGAGCCCATTTTAGTCCCAACGGCTAGTTTAAAAAAAATTGAATGGGTAGGGTGGGCTGGGCTGGCATAGTGGCATGTAGCCATTGGTAACGACTATATCACTATACGGTCGTTGGGGGTAAAAAAACTATAAATACATATATTTTCTAAACATTTTCTTACAACCGTTCTTCAATTCTTCCTACTCTCTAATCATCTTCATCTTATTATATCTACTTATATACTTATTATCTACTTATATTTACATACGAGTATATTATATCCACTTATATACGGAGTACTTATTATCTATTTATTATCTACTTATTATATAAGCACTTATATTCTACTTATATTTACATATATTATATCTACTTATATATTAAAAGTACTAAATATAAGTGTACTACTCATCTTAAAGTCGTATACTTATATATTATACGAGCATACTATTAACATTATATTATATATTAGTTAATTTAGGTATACTTTATAGTTTATACATTTATTCTATTAGTTACATTTTCATTAATATTAGTTATACATTTATCCTATTAGTTACGAAATATATTTACATTATAAATTTTATATATTAAGTATATTATTCCATTAGTTACATTTTCATATTTACAATCTCATTTTACACTATTCATAGTTTTAAAAATACCCAAACCCGGCCCGATGCCCCCAGCCGGGTACCCGGGCCGAAACCTGTACCAAAGTAACCCGGATCGGTACCAGGTTTCATATATTTAAAACCGGGACCGCCTGGGCCCAGAGTCGGAGCAGACCGACCCATCTCCACCCCTAACGGGCTGTTTGGATGAAGTGTTGAAGGGTGTTAGTAATGGAAGTGTTAATAAGTGTTAGCGGGGGAAGGTAAAGGAAGGTAAGTGTAAGTGTTAAACATAAACTTATCTTGTTTGGGAGAGTTGAAAAAATGATGTGTTAGTAACGGATGTTTTCATTTTTGACAAAAATGACAAAAAAAAAACTTAACTTGTCTTCTTAGACTTCTCACCAGCTTATCAGTTTTTGGGTCCACCGTTTTTGCTATAAAAGAAAGGAGAAGCAAAACACAATATATAATTATTTATTTATTTATTCATTACAAAATAAAATATTTGTACTATCTTTATAAAAATATACTGATTTCTAGCAATTATTATGATCTCAATGTCTGAGCAGTCAGCTTGTATCACGTGCCATTGGTTTGCTCAACCATCCACTTCTTTTCCTTACTAAAGATATTTCTACGGCTCCTCCTGGATCCACCGGCAACTTTTGAGATAGCAAGGAAAGATAGAGATGAAGAACTTAAGGAAGAAGATAGCAGATGCAGAATAATCAAAGAAGATAGCAGATGCAGTATAATCAAAGAAGATAGCAGATGCAGAATAATCGAAGAAGATAGCAGATGAATAATCTAAAAGACAGACTGAATTGAAGGGCAATACTTGTCAACACTTCCCTACACCCCAATTTGGGATGTTAAAAAAAGCCATCTATTCAAGTGTTGAGGAGGTTTTCTTTAACACTCATAAACACTTACTAACACTTCAAGTTTTTTTAAATTTTTCTCCCAAACAAGTGTTAACATCAACACTCTTTAACACTTCCATTACTAACATCTCTCAACACTCAATCCAAACAGGCCGTAACTGGAGCCACACATTTTTTGTATTTGTTGAGTTGCAAGAACCTTACCAATTTCTCAAGATAAGTTAGATTATAACCCTGAGAGGGGCTCCACGCCTCCACGCCTAACTGGAGCCACACATTTTTTATATTTGTTGAGTTGCAAGAACCTCAACAATTTCTCAAGACAAGTTAGATTATAACCTGAGGGGGCGAATTACTTTCCCAAAAATTACATTGCCATGAGAAAACATTATGCACAGCTATATTTTTTGCTAAATACCCAACAAAGCTAACTGAACGTGTCCCATTCTCTAAATAACTGCATTTAATTAGTTCTCACATCATACAAGCACACTAACACGAGTGAAGAAATACACAGTACCATAACTTGAACAACTTATCAAATAATGCTTTGTTTTGTTCGGGATGAACATAGAAATTTTCAAATCTGGACATGCTCGCATGGGATGCTACAACTTACAAGTGAACCGGAGGATCAACACAAAGAACCCTCGAAAGTCAAAATTAGAAGAACCTCCTAATAATCGAGGATTTAAGAGGTTGTCTTCTATATTCTGGTTTTCATCTAAGCAATCTTGGTTGCAATCACCTAGATTATCCACTAGATCTAGGTCCACTTATACTCTTAAGTTCAATCGAACCAAATAGATACTAAAGTTCTTTCCATACTTAAGAGAGGGTGGCGTCCTAACCCCAAAACTGCATTAAAAAGTTCAAATTAAAGCAAAGGAGTCAAGCCCTCTGTTTTCCTTTTCTAAGTATTTCTAGTTCTGCTTCAGCATCTTCCAATTGTTTCCTTAGTACAGATACCCTCTGCTTCAACTCTTCAACTGAGCCTCGAACCAGAGAAGGCTGGTATGGAGTTGTAAAATTGTGTGAAAAGTCCTTCAAAGCCTGAACACCACAAACCTACCAAAAGTACCATGGAAAATTAGCTAGGCTTAATGTTTGAAAAAACTTCACATGCAATACAGCTTAACTTGCAAACTCAATACATTTTACTTCACCCCAGCGCTATGACACCATGTCAATTAAAATAGATAGTGAAGGATTCCTAAGACATTGTGCCATGCAACAATTGCAAACAACTTTGATAACAATTTCATAAAGGGAAAAAGGTCAGATAGGCCCTTGTACTTACATTAAAAGGTCAAATAACCCCTTATATAGGAGGCTCTGTCCGGCCGTCTCCATTTGAAGCGGTTCCCGGTGGAATTTTTTGATGAATTTTTTTGAGCGTCTTATTCATCAAGTCTGGTTTATTCATACCAAATTTCAGCTAAAAATTCAATCGGGAAGGCATTCAAATGAATTCTTGAAGAGAACTGTGTAGTTAAAGAGCAAAGCTATCTTCAAGAATTAATATGAATGCCTTCTCGATTAAAGTTTTAGCTTAAATTTGGTATGAGTAAACTAGACTTAATGAATAAAATGCTCACAAAATTTCATCTCAAAATTCCACCACGAACCGCCCCAAATGGAGACGGCTGGACAGAGCCTCCTATATAAGGGGTTATTTGACCTTTTTATGTAAGTACAAGGGCCTATATGACCCTTTTCCCTTTCATAAATGTAAACTTAGATAATGATAAATTTAACTTGATTGCTGAGGTCCATCTAGATGTGAGACACAACTCGCACTTTGAGTTAAGTGTGTCAATTCGTGATGAGGTTTTAGTCAGCATTCGAATAAGTAAACAAATTATATCAAACAATGGTAAATCTCTATTTATATACACCTTTATTTTCGAGTTAAATGCAGGAAAATGACTTGAGGTGCCAGTAGCATTAAAGAATACTTCATAGTTTTTAGAAATCTTGCACCCGGAAGTAATAACTACAGAAGAAGTACCGCAGGGCAGCTCATTATTTCCACTATTCCCTAGTTGTTTAACACTAATGGATCTCACAATCATATAGATAGTGTATGAACATTTAAAATTTAACATTTCAATGAGAATTTAACCAGACATACTTAACACATCGTACACAAATGGATCTCCATACCTCTTCTGGCAGCAAAGGCAATTTAGTAATGTTGAAGTCATCATATAACATGTAGAACTGATTTAAGTATTTTTGTTGCATTCGCATTCTCGCCTTGAGCAACTTTGACTCCACTACTAATAAAAGGTATACAAAAAGGTCCACAGACATTATTAGTTTTCATCTATTCAGAGGGAGTTGCAGTATGGAGAAGAACAAGTACATGCAAGTAGCAATTTGGTAAACAATAGTACCTTCTTCGTCGAATATGACTTGGTTAATAATGATATTATGTGTGTCAATGTCAAATTTAGTGAGTTCCTGCACAAGCCTTTCAGTTTCATACAGTGACAAGAATTCCGGAATGCAAACACAGACAAATGTTGTCAAGTCCTGTTGAAAACAAAGGTGCTGAGAGATCTTGATAACATGGAAAACATTCGAAGGAAAAAGAAAGAAATAATAGGTAAGGGAAAACCGGTAAAGTATATACTACTACAGGCTACTACTTTCTATGAATAACAAAGAATGAAAGCTCTATTTAACTGAAACCATCATTCTTTAACCCATCTAAGTAGAAACCTACACAAAAGTTATTCGCTAACTAGCACAACTTTAGAAACTAACTTCTCAAGTCACTGATTCAATACTTGCAACATTTTTTACTCTGGACACCAAATCCCTTGTTTGAGCTACTTTGTTAAAAAATGGTTGACAACAGCCTTACACTGTACAGACCTACTTCGTTGATGGGATCTTGGGCTAAAGAGAATAATAAGAAGAATAAAAGAATAATGTTACATAGTTGTTATTATGTTTTAGGGGGTCCAGGCCTGGTATTATTTAGTTATGGGCCAGCCCGTAAGGAAAATATTACAAATAGAAGCTAAGAAAGGAATAAGAGATGGGCAGAAGTTGGGACTTGGGCTAGGAACAGGAAGAGTGAGGCCTCTCTAAGAATCTCAATCTGTATTTCTTCTCTTCTTTAGTTCTTTCTGTTTTCCATTGTACGTTGGTTTATGGTGAAGATTGGTTCCTATCATTCGTACTTCTGATTCCCTTTAATTTTCACTTCATTAGCACAGCGTCCATTAGCAATGTTGAAGATAATTACGTAGTCTAGCATGATAAGATCCAAAATTGGGTCATAAGACACTTGGGTAAAACCATACTAAAAGATTCAATTCAATGTATCAGCTAGTTCAACCCAAGGTTTTAACAGCCTAACAATGGGTCGCGGCCGGAACTGCTCTAATACCTTGAGAGAAGTAGGGTTCCTAATCCAGAATCTGAATCCTAAATTCTATCAGAGCATATGTAAAAAGCAGAAAACGTCTTTCTTGGAAAATGGCAATTCAAAGTTCTTACCGGATCCTTGAACTGCTTGTTAACTTTCATTAGCAGTTCATTAGCACAGCGTCCATTAGCAATTTAGCAGTGTTGAAGATAATTACATAGTCTAGCATGATAAGATCCAAAATTGGGTCATAAGACACTTGGGTGAAACCATATTAAGAGATTCAATTCAATGTATCAGCTAGTTCAACCCATGGTTTTTAACAACCTAAAAATGGGTCACGGCCAGAACTGCTCTAATACCATGAGAGAAGTAGGGTTGCTAATCCAGAATCTGAATCCTAAATTCTATCAGAGCATATGTAAAAAGCAGAAAACGTCTTTCTTGGAAAATGGCAATTCAAAGTTCTTACCGGATCCTTGAACTGCTTGTTAACTTTCATTAGCAGTTCATTAGGAGTTTGAGAAGAAATTGGCCCAAACGAAGGGAATCAGGCCCAATTCGTATTCCTCTCAGAATACGTCTGTTTCCAGCCTTACTCCCATTAGCGCTACATGTGCACGTGATCAGGAGCCATTACCTGGAAATTCCAGCACAGCCTCTTATTCATCACCCTCCAAAGCAGCCTTGTCGCTCCCTTCTCCCGCTCGTTCATGGGATGCGACAAAACAACAACGTCGCGACAAAGGATTGTGTTTCCGATGTGGGGACCCGTTCCGACCAGGCCACCGCTGTTCTACTATGTTCTCGCTGTTGGAAGTTGTAGAGGACGAGAATTCAATGCCAAGCTCGTTGGAATTAACCGAAGACACAAAACAGGAACCGACCGTAGATGCCGAGATTTCTTTCAATGCCATCCTAGGCAAACCAACAACAACAACAATGAAACTGTGTGGCTTTCTGGCTAACAAAGAAGTATTGTTGTTAGTGGATAGTGGCTCAGGTCACAATTTCATATCAGATTCACTGGTAAGGGAACTTGACTTGGCAACCTCCTCTACTCAGACAATTGGAGTTCAGCTTGGAGACGGTCATGTTGTGCGTTGCAACTGTGTGTGCAAGGAAGTTTCAGTACAACTTCCAGGTTTGACCATCACCCAAGATTTTTATCCATTTCCCCTTGTGGATTCTGATATGGTACTGGGAATTAAATGGCTTGCATCACTCAATACCATCCAATCTAATTGGAATGAGATGTTCCTCATTTTTTGGGTGAATGGGAAGAAATATAAGTTACAGGGAATACCAAAGCGAGAGTGTCAACTTGCAAGTTTTAATCTTATGACCACAGTGGAGTCTGCATCTATTCCACCTGGGCCTGACACATTTAACCCATACATGCACCGCAGCAGACTTGGGAAGACTGAATTCTTAGTGCAGAAATTTCCAGAATTTCGCCTTGAGGACAAGTCGGCTTTCAAAGGAGGGGGTAATGATAGGGTGCTGAAATATAAGAGGCGCAAGAAACGAGGACCAATTGTTGACTGAGTCTTCATTTATTTATTAATTATTGTTTATTTGTTTAAATGAGTCAGTTGGAGAAATAAGTGGGGTTTGGTGTCATGCATCAGTCCACTAGGGTAGTTATTAGATCATGGGGTAGTTACTAGATCATGGATGAAGTCAGTTTACATCAGTTGTGCGAGTCAGTTTTAGACAGTTAGTAGTCAGTTGTATTTCTCTCTTTAAATAGCCTAGCCATATTCAAGCTAGGTATGCATGAATCAATATCAGTTTCAGACCTGGAGATTCTCCCTTGGCTTCTACAATCACTCATTTGTGAGATACTTACTATGAGAAGAGAGTAGGAGACTTTAAATCATTCCATATCTTTCTTTTTAATTTCTGATCTTATCACAGTGTCCATTAGCAATTTAGCAGTGTTGAAGATAATTACATAGTCTAGCATGATAAGATCCAAAATTGGGTCATAAGACACTTGGGTGAAACCATATTAAGAGATTCAATTCAATGTATCAGCTAGTTCAACCCAAGGTTTTTAACAACCTAACAATGGGTCACGGCCAGAACTGCTCTAATACCATGAGAGAAGTAGGGTTGCTAATCCAGAATTTGAATCCTAAATTGTATCAGAGCATATGTAAAAAGCAGAAAACGTCTTTCTTGGAAAATGACAATTCAAAGTTCTTACTGGATCCTTGAACTGCTTGTTAACTTTCTCAATAATCTCTTTCATTCCCTCGAGCCTTCCTAGGATTGCATCCTCACCAAATTCACTACCAACACCGAGGAGACCAGTCACCTGCAAAAAATAATCAGAATAGCCAGAAGATATTAGTCTTCTGATTCATAAGTCATACAAAGATATACTCAACTGCTGAAGGCATCAAGATTATTTGTTGACAGCTTCATGAATACATATGAAAGATCAATTGCAAAATTGACACATCACATCAATCAGCATTAGTATGGAGGATAAATACTAAATAGAAATGTAACTTTAGGGCTAACTTGATTATTAAGTGCTACTATCGGGATATAAATTAAAATTTGTCACGTTGGATCAATCAATGTCAATATAATAATTATATTCTTCGTTACTCTGTGTACAGAATGGCAGATTGATTAACCTCAGGTCCATAGTTCCATACACCATATGAATGGTGCATACACCGGATATCAACAAACAGCAGTACATTAAGAGAATGAAGAAGGCAGTAGATCATATAGACACAGAAGTAGGGCATACAAACCTGCAATGTAGGCAGCCAGGCACACCAAAAAGTAAAATAAAAAGGCTCTAAAGGTAAATCAATATGAGAAAAACAGAGGTACACCTGATTCAACAATCCACCAAAGTTGTTCTTCAATTTCATCATTTTCCCAAGCCCTTTCTCCAGAGTTGACGGAAATTGTAATAACCGGAGTGTGTGACCCGTTGGAGCAGTATCAAATACTATAACAGAGTAATCCATAGTTTGCACTAATCTGAAAAAAGAACATAGCATTTGATTTAATCTATCAGTGTTGGGGGGGTAATCATATGCCAAAGGAATAATAGTTTGTAGCCATAGAAAATTCACATTGCGGTATCCATTTTGCTCCCCCTAACCCCAAACCAATACAGAATGGGAAAAAATGAATTCTTAATTCTTACAGAAAAATTACAAATATCTATACCTGCAAACAAATGTTAGAACAGCTTTATCCCGTAGGGAATAAATACAACAGAATTATGTCAAATCCATAACTTGTATAAATGGGCTTGGACCAGTGGACATGCAGGATTGGGTTTTTACCCTAGCACTTTACAAACAGTGTGCTCATTAGGCGGTGGCAGAGGCAGCCCAGAGGTTTAGAAAGGCCAACCGTGGGTCTGCTACACTCTAGGTCTCCCAAGTGTAGAGATCGACAAGGGACACCTCAACCAAATGCTGAGGGCTCCAGTCAGGACGGTCGATCCAGTAGGACTGTTTACTGTGGAGCACTTGATGACTACAGTTTGAATAACCCAATGGATATTAACCCAAAGTGACGGCCTAAAGTTTGAATAACCCAAGACTTTTGTTATGAATCGCATTTTGAAGTTATTCAATAAACTCTCGACATAATATGCAAGTGAAAATTATAAGATTAACTTTGCATATCACTTAAAGCATAATATAACAATACTTCCTCAATGCTTGGATTAAAATTAGAAGTCAGAACATCAATCATTCAATCTAGACACTTACTTTAGCATCTCGGCGAAACTCATAGCCTCGTCAATTCCAGGAATAGAATTGGCCAATTCAGACAAAAATCCATCCATTCCATCTGACCCAACTGTGTCTTCATTCTCAACATTTGGATCAACTTCCTAAAGAACAAGCATGAAACCAAATAATCATGATACATAAGAATATATCAAATGAAGTTTACTATCAATTGTTCCTGATGACAACTTAGATCCCCAAACAAACCACTAACGCAAAACAAAATAATAGTGTCACGCATTTAACAAAATGTCAAACTTCAAACCCATACTAGCTGTAGTCAGCAGCAGTAAATGTTTATAATATGTTTTGGTTTTCAAAATGTAATTGTGATATAAAAAAACATCAGACCAGAAAATATGATATCAATCCCAAGCTTGGTCATTCAAACTGAATTAATGTTGAAACCACGAAGCCTGGTATCACCAAGAAAATGCCATTTAAAATGCCAAGGATATGAACACCTAAACCCACATCATGTATCGATCTTATTATCTTAATCATCTTATTATTAAAATCTCCGTGAATGCAATCTTTCTCGAATATCAGCCCCAAAAACCAACCTGACCCCACCCACAAAAAGGGAATGACCTATTCTTTAATGCTCCTTTCCCGCTAAGATTTTTCGGCCGTCTCACTAAGATTGCTCATACCAAATTTGGTAAGATTTGTGTGGTTCTAAATCATTTTTATTTTATTCTTACTTTATCAATTCAATATCAACCCATAAATTCACTTTTCTTGATAACCGCACCACCTCCTCTTGTAGCAATGTTAGGGGGCGGAGGTATTATCTTTTACTAAAGATTGAGTTCAATTGTGTGCTTAATACTCCAAAGTCCAGAGTACTTTTTTCATTAACTTCAAAATACTTAGGGAGCGTTTGCAAGAGATTAAAAAATTGATTTGGCTCAAAAAAAGTTGGAATGAGTGTTTTCAAATAACAGATTAACAGCTTCTACTTCAATTAAGTAATTAAAAGCTAAAAGTTAGAGGCAGGTTGAAAGGTGCTTTAAAATGTTTTTCATTTTTTCTTTTACACAAAAAATCACTTATTTTATCAAACACCACCCACTTTTACTTTTTCAAAAGCACTTTTTCTCAAACACCGCTAATTTTGATTATCAAGCATTTTCTCTAAAATCACTTCAAAAAATCACTTTTTTTAAGGTAGAAGCAATCGCAAACACTCCCTGACATTAAAAATAGAAATATCGCAAAAATATTTAGGGGTGTTTGGCATTGATTCTGATTTTACTTCTTTATAAATTTAATCAAAATCAGAGTTTGTAGATTTATAAGAAAGTGATTCTTTTTTTACCGCTGCACATCAATGTTATTTTGGAAGTTAACATTCAAGAGTCCTAAATTGAAAAGCTGGTAATCCCAGACTTCTCTAAAAATGGTTTTGAGGGGTATATAGAAGATTTCTGTTTCTAAGTGCTGCTGAATAGAGGGAATCTGTTTGTAAAATTAGATCTAAACAACTACCATGTTGTAAATAGCTTCAGTTGGGTCCCTGTACACTATGGATATCCATTTTGGAGAATAGGGCAATAAATAATCATATATTGTAAACAAAAACAACAAAGATCAAGGAAAAAACTACTGAAGAATCGATTAATTGTACCATTGCATACAAATTGGAGAAACCATTGACAAGGGTGGGAAACTTAGTGAAACGCTGCTGGAAAGCATCGCTGAGATTGTGGGCGGGGTCGGTAGAAATGATGAGCACGGACGATCGGACCTGGGCGAGAAGTATACCAAGGGTGGAGCTGCAAGTGGTTTTCCCAACTCCACCTTTCCCCCCTACAAAAACCCACTTCAATGTTTCCTGCTCTAAAATGTTCTGCACCGTGCCTTCAAGTATACCAGCCATGAATAGGGTTTCTTCAAAGTATTTAATTTGCTTTCCTCTTCTATAAATAAAACCATACAAGTAGAACGAAGGAAATACTGTTTAAGGTTTGAAGAGATCTAGTTGGAGATTGCGCCTAATCATGCTTGTGCTTTACCTTGGTCTTTACTCTTCTTTTTGTAGGATGGGTCTTGCTAGAGATACATGTTTTGTGTACACGTTTTGAGTACACATGCTTGTCCTTCACAGACAAATTGTCTATCACAGGCAAATTGTCTGTGACAGACAAATTGTCTGTGAAGGACAGACATGTGTACACCAAACGTGTACACAAAACGTGTACCTAAAGCATTTTCCTGGTAGGATATACTGTATGTATGTTTGGCAAACTAAAAAAATATATTTTGTGGACTTTTTATTAACAAGTTAGTTTTTAGTAGCTGAAAAGATCTTAAAAACAAAAAAGTGGTAGTTGTTTGGTAAAAAGATAACTGTTTGATTTAGTTCGGTTTGGTATACAAGTTATTAGTACTAATTAATCTAAAAGTCACGAGCTTTTATTTTATGCTACTCCTGGTAGCATCGCAAAAAAAGATCTTGTAATTTTTGAAAAGTTCTTAAAAATAGTCATGTCAAACATCCACCTAGAAGCTTTTAGAGACTTTTTGAACAGTACAAAAGCTAGAAGCCAGAGATTTTGTCTGCCAAACATGCACATAGCCATATAGGTAGCTTTTATAGGTAGCTTTTACGGTTCAATATACTTCAATTGCGGTTAGGTTTCAATTTATTCGGTTTGGGAGAATTTGCACCAAACTAAAACCATTTGTTTTTCAATTCGGTTTGGTTCGGCTTGGAGTTCGGCTTACCAAAGTGAAAAGTATTATGTTCGATTTTGTTCAATTTGATTCGGTTTATTTTTTTATTATTTAAATAAAATGTAAAATGAAATAAAAGATATAAAAAGAAGTAATAAAATATTATGCAGTACAAATTAAACTTCTAACATCTTTTCGATCAGTATAAAGAGATTCACTTCTTACAAAAAATAAATTTATAGTTGATTAGCATTTATAATATCATATATAATATTCAAAGAAAAATAATGAATTCGGTAGTACAAATGTTGTAATATTCACAATTTTATTCAAATGAATCATGTAAAAAATATAAATGCAAATTGCTATTGTTATCACCAAACATCTTTTCATACAGCTAGAGTACAAAACATATACATATATTTTGTATTAGCTAACTTTGTCATAATTAATGTATGAAATGTGTAAAAGTTAAAATGATACGTAGTATATGCTAAATACGTATTTCATGTCTAAATTATTTATTTAAATCTTAAAAATGAAGAGTGATGACAAATACAAAGTCTATATAAAACTCATAGAACCAAAAGTGAAATTAATTCTTTAAGAAATAGTTCTCGAAGCGTTCAAAATTAGTACTACTGCTTTGTAATTTTGAGTAAGAGGTCTTGAATTCAAGGAAATGGTTCTTCAAGTATTCCTAACCAATCTATCTCTAGTGTTCGAGAAGTTAGTGTGTCGCATAAAAATGTTGTTTGAGACGAAAGTCATAAGATTGATAGGGACAAAGGAGCCTGAACGTGAACTGGATATTGTGTAAATGGTTAGAGATGATGTGAACAGATACTACGTTGTTAGGGTGCTCGTCAACCTTTGTCTCATAATTTTTCACAAACTTCATTTGGAAAGACATTAAGGTGTTTTCAAGGAGAGTGATTTAAAAAGTGGGAATGGTTGGAATATAGTGTTTCTAAGGCTTAAATATATATGTAGTCCCTACAAATATGACACACTTTTTTTAGGTCACTGCAATTTTTTTTCGTCGATGTAATATGGATTATTTTGTTTTACCCCTTCTCCAACTCTGAAATTACTCTACATAGAATAATAATAATTGCCGGTTGCATAAATCTATTAAATACATTTAATTTTATCCTTTTATAATTTTTTTGAGGCTAATATAAGAGTTAAACGTTGTAAAACTTAGTTATTCACATTTTTAAAATATGTATTAAAAATAATCTAAAAAATAAAATTAAATACTCTTTGAATAACATGACAAAGAGTTAGAGAGAACCTATTAGTCAAAGTTGTTTTGTTGTCAAACAGAGGTGGTTATCATTGGTGAAGAATTAAAATGAAAACCAATATAAATTTCATGAATGAAAAACAAGAAAATAATTTTCTAGGGATGTAACAATTCAACATGTACTATATTTAATTTGGAGGGACTAAAAATATATTTACACATGTTTCTAAATAAGTCACTTTTTGACTTTATTGTTACATTTTTCATGTGGAAGAAGGAAAGATATTTGAAGATAATGTGTATGAGGATACAATTATGAGAATTGAGAAGTGTAGACAATGTACACAATTATACTAGAACATTTTCTCTTTCAAAAATCAAATGAACAGCTTTTCAAGAAATGTGTCTTCGAGAAAACAAGTATTGAATGTGACATACCACACTCATTTGAATGGAAGTGTGGATTGTGCTGGGTTGAGCAAGTACAAAATAATTATTTAGCTTTTGGTACGTCCCATTTGATAAACCTATGACTCCCTGGTCGACATTATTATTGTTATATAAAATAAAATTGAAATGACTTTAAAATCATTTTTATATTTTAATAACTACTTATGCAATAATGAATTAAAATATATCCCTTACACCAATAAAAACAAATACCAATGTTGGGATGTTAGGCCACGGTCTAGTACGAGCCCAAATATTCTTGGATGCCCAAATCACACACGGGTCATCCATAAAATGTAGCCAGCTCGGGATAGGCGTTCGGCATCCCCGCACGGGCATTGTCGTAGGGCCTGCCCCAAAGCAATTGGCGGAAAACCTCATAATTGGCGGGAATCTCAAAGCAATTGACGGGAAACATCATAATTGGCAGGAATCTCATTTAATGCACCAGACGTGGAAGATTTACTGGATGGAGGCCCATCTACTCAGGGTCGGTCATGTCACCCCCTCCACCTACCAAATTATAGTATATATAAATAGCATCATTTATTGCATTGTATGAGGTTAGCAACTTTTTACTCTTAGCATTATACTTCTTTCTAGTTCTCTCAGTAGCGTTCAGCCAAGTCTAGAGGATCGAACTGAAGCTCGGTGGGTTGTTGTAATCTTCTATAGACTTGAATAGAATTTGATTCGAGAAAATGGTCGAAATGGTACATGAAGTTGTAATAATGGGAGTAAGTAGTACTTCATCTTGCATTTGAAATTTTAAAGTACATGAACTTGTATTTTCATAGTCAATCAAGTACATTTTGTCTATTAGAACGTTAAAATAGCTGATCTGACCAAATTATCTGTTTGTATTATACAGTTGCAGTCTTAGTCATCAAACAATTAATCTATAAATTATATTTTCCTCCCGTCCACCCGTTCTCACGTTCGCTCTTCATCTTATATTTTTGTGATCCGCTCTCTCTTCTCTTCGCTCTAAATCTTATATTTCTCCCGTGTACTCTCCCTGCTATCTTGTCAGCTTCTTCTTTTTGTTCTATTTTATTTTCTTCTTCTCTTATCTTACTATAATAAAGATGGACCGATGGCAAATAAAAGAAGAAGTCGGTGGGATAGCAGGGAGAGAAGACGAAAGAGAAGGTGAGCAACACAGGCAGAGCTAGAGGGAGCTAACCTAGGCCCTGGCCCACCTCAATTTTAAAAATGCTTAATTTTAAAATTTTGTGTAACTTTTTTTCAAAAATATTCTTTGTACTGTTTCAGTCCGGCCCAGTGCCCTGGCTCCATCCTTGGAGAGCAGACGAGAGAAATATAATATGAAGAGCGAGATAAGGGAGAGCAAATGTGAGAAATATAAAATGAAGAGCGAAGGTTGAAACGAGTGAACTGGAGGAAATTAATATTTATAGATTAATTATTTGATGAGTTAGACAGCAACGATATATTACAAACAGATAGTTTGGTCGGGTCAGCTATTTTAACTTTCTGATAGAGCAAATGCACTTGATTGACTATAAAAATACAAGTTCATGTACTTTAAAATTTCAAATGCAAGATGAAGTACTACTTACTCCCATAGATACAACTCCATGTACCATTTTCTCAATTTGATTCTACTTTGCTTCTAATTATTTGACTCGCCTTGTTATTCCCGTGTTTGGTACTCACTAAGCGAACTACTTCAATCAAGACATTCCAACAAAGGCCAAAGGACTGTGTTGGGGTTTTGGACACCGATGAATAAACCTCAACAACCAATAATAACAAATTCAATTTCAATGCAAAAAGGCAAACACAACCTTAACCACCCCCCCTAATGATAATACTAGTATAAATTGTAGAGAGTAATTAACAAAATATAATTGCACTACTCTTAACTTCAAAGCTCCTTTACATCCAACTAGAGATTAAAAACAAGGGAAAAGATGTAGATATACCCCTAAAGTATATGTAGATGTGTGTGTATATATATATATATATATCTATGAACTTCTAAAAGATGCAAAAATACTCATGTTCTTACAAAAGAGCAAATTTACTTCTACTGACTTAAATAAATAAAATAAATTTTAAAAAATACCAAACATAAGGAATAAAAATAAAAATGAAAAGCCAGAAATTTAATTGTGTCCAATTCCCTCTTTTATTATTTTTACATATACGTTAATACTCTGTATATTGTTGGTATAAAAGATCGTTTCAAAATTTTACTATATATTTATGATTCTTTCGTAATAGTGTTAAAATATGTGTTATGTATAAAAATAATCATTAACTTTTGTATTCTTTGCACTATAAAATTATATATTATGTATGGCGATAAATAATCCAATATTACAAACTAGTGAATTTAATTTTATTAAGTTTAAGCAAAACCAAAGAATGTTATTTCATAATAGAATAAATTCCGCTTTTGCTCATACGAGTTTTAGGCCAATTCCACATTTAGTCCACATCTTTCACTTTGTCCACTTTTGATACATGACTATTGAGTTTTCGCCCATATATGGTCCTTCTGACATTGTTTCCGATGGTTAAAACCGCCAGAAAAGAACCACAAACGGTTAAAAAACATTAGTCAAGTATCAAAAGTGGACCATAATGAGTTTGACACAGAGAAAACAGTCCAAAAGAAAATATCATTAATGTGGAATTGACACA